TGATACTTTGAATATTACATGTTAATAACTTGATTGGAATTATAACCTTGAATTGACAGTTTGATACTTTGAAAATTTTGAGCCAGCCCTACCCCCAAGGGCTGGAGGTGCTAGTTTCAAATCCTTTTTAGTCTGAAATCTGTATGCTAGATATTGAGTAAGGTGGTTTTATTGTTTTTTGTCACTTTGAATAATATTTCTGTTCATGTTAAAAACAAAATCAACTCTCTGTATAAATATATCAGGTGACCGTTAAGGCCCATGGGCCTCTTGTTGTATATAAGACCTCTTCCTCACTGGACTTCTGTATTTGTGTTGTTCCTTTATTTAAATAGTTACGTACGTATTATCAACTTGTCAGCAGTTGGAATAAGGTAATTTATTGATGTTAGCAAAAACTGATGCCGAGATTATCCATTCCTGTTTTTCAGAACTCCACAAACAGCACAGGGACAAGTTGGAGGACATTACTCACCGATTTGAGAGTATGAAGATGAACCTCTCCGTAAGTATCACATCTCTAATAACCAGTGTCACATGATCGAGGTCACATGACCAGTGTCACATGAGCGAGGTCACATGACCAGTGTCACACCAGTAATTCTGTAATTCTGTTTATGATAGTCATGGTTACGTCAGTCATGGCTGCATTTAAAATCACACAAACCATATATTCATTGGACATTTGTTTTAATATCCATGATTCCATTTGAAGCAAACAGACGTTTTTCATGTATATATTTGTAGAACGTTTGTTTTAAGATCCATAATTCCATTTGAAGGACACAGACGTTATTCATGTATTTATTTGTAGATTGTTTGATTTAATATCCATAATTCCATTTGAAGGACAAGGTGGAGAGTCTGAGGTACGAGTGTGATGACCTCAGGGTCAGGGCCAGGATGAGTGAGGAGGCGCTCCAGAGGGACTCCGACTACAAAGTCCAGGTAGGAAGCTGACAAGGAGAATTCATCCCTTTGTTATGACCTACTGAAATATATGAGTTATCCCCCCTGTAGGTTAAAGGGAAAGTTTACTGGTCCAGTGAAACCATTATGTGGCATAGGAAGCCCCTAACTGATCTATCTTTTCTCTTCTAACTTGTCACTTTCTTTTAACCATAAACAAAAACCTTCTCTAGCACTCCTGAAATATGGAGGCAGTTTTCTCTTGTTTTAAATTTGCCTGTGTGTTCATCTGTCAATAAACAGATTGACCTGATTTTATTATAAAATTTCCTAGTTTTGCATGTCATAATGAGACAGTGTCTTACATAACAGTTCCAGGTCAAATGTCATGATAAGGGTTCAAAGGTTAACTGCTTGTACAGATTTTATCTGTAGATTGGTACATTGTTATCTTTTCAAACTTCTTAAATGTTTGCTTCCATGATGACTTGTCACATACATGTACACTCAGATCCGTCTGGTGACACAAACTTCAATCTGTTTTGACAGATGGCATTGGCACCATTCAGGAACATGCCAGAGGAGATTCGGAGTCTGAAACTTGTTGTGGAGATGAGGAATGAGGAAATACAGAAACTAAAGCAACGGAACTTGCATCTAGAAAGACAGGTAGGAGTGGAATGATTCTGCACAGGGTTGGATTAAACACTGCTAGTCGACACAGGCCTCAGCTGTACTGTATCAATGTTACTTAGCTAGGCCTAGAATAAAGTGTAATATGGCCAGGGTTTAGTATTATAGTTTTTGTGTTGTTGTATCAAGTAGAATGGCATAATCAAGGAGCCATTAGAAATTAGGACCCAAAGTATAGAACACAAGTACCATGTTCAACTCACTCCATGCACCAATTACACTTGTGTTGAAGGCAGGAAGAGAGTCTTGCTCCGCTTCCAAATAAATGAGGGCAAATTTCTCTTGTGAATATTAGCATACAGTTTAGTATACAAAACAAATATAATGTTAACAGCAAAATTAATGCTCAGTGAATGTGGATTTTACCAGTGGAGGGTGAAATATTTGAGTGGGTAAATCTCTGGTGTACAGTATGTGATCCAGGGTAAAAAGGTCTAAACAATAACATAAACCGATAGTTTTTATGTACGAGATGTTATCGGTGTTATATATACAATATGCTTTGTTGTAGGTGGAGGAGCTGGCCGTGATGAAGGACAAGGTGAACAGTCTGCATCAGAAGCTGGAGAACTCCGATGCCATCCTCAGCATAAAATCAGACCATGAAAAGTAGGCACATCTCTGTCACAACAATAGTCACTAGCTCTTCTTGAGAAGCTTTAGCTGACTTAGAGTGAACTTTTATAGACCAAACGAGTTCTTCCTTATTATGTTCAAACCTGAATATTTGAAATCAATGTCTCTGGAAAGCCTTCGATATGTCTCGTCAGTTTTCAAGATGATTCAAATTTTGAAATTGACGACAGTTATTGCAATTGACTTTTTTTATAAAATAAGACATAAGTTGAAACTATGTTTAGCCACAAAAATACACCTGCATTTTCATTGTTTGAAAAATAAATCTGCTATTATTACTGTTTGTGATATCAGTTTGACCTGCTCCATATCAATTAAACATATACAATATTTGCAGACAACTCCACGGGAAGTGTCAGATACTGATGAGGAAGTATGACAAGGAAAACAAGGCCAACAAGCGCCTGTCCATGGACTACGAGGAGCTTGTGTGGAAGATGAACCAAAGCGGGGAGCTGGGATCACAGGAGAACCTGTGGAGTGCCGGACAGCAGTCCCCCACCCCCGATACCAGCTCCCCGGGGCCGGGGCGTCGTACACGCTCCCCAGCTGTAAGTGAAAGTGATAGACTAGTCAACAGAAGTCCTGTTTACCGTCGTTCTCTCTCCTCCAACGCTACGGAGACTGATGGTGACAAAAAGCTAAAGAGGAGGTCCGCAACCTACCTCCTAGAAGACAGGAAAACCTCGCCAACAGGAAGTCCTCTACACAAACGTTCTCATGGTTCCGCCTCCTCCGCCTCCTCCTCTCCTCTCCATCACAGTTACCATGACAGCGAGCTGTCTAATGGGAGGACAGACCGAATGATCCACTCCCTCAATGATGTGGATGTGTTTGAGGAACCCCAGGCCCTCCCTTCACCTCCCCCTCCCTGTGAAATGGAAGGAAGCTTAACTTCCTTCTCATCTTCCTCCGAGAGTGACCCCATGTTAGGATCAACAGACTGCCTCGGGCAGAATGAGGAGAGAGACAACTCAAAAACTCTTACCTCCAGCAAGAGTATTACTATGCCAGACCTGCCTTTTGTGGACAGTGACAAATGTGAGGAAGTGACTGGACAGGACGAGGGTGTGTGTCTGACGGAGGAACAGGGAGAGGAGGCCTCAGACATGTCCCACTCCACAGAGTCCACCGCCTACTCCAATTCCTCGTCACTCCTGTGGGACTACGAGAAAATGGACTCGGCGAAATCAATGGACTCCAGTCAGACCAGTGACACACTTCTGGAGCAGAATGGCTCCGAGGCATGGCAAACAGAGTCGATGACATCATCAAAGGGGATTTCAGCCTCTTCAAGTGCAGAGTGTGTGCTGCCCACTAAAGAGGGTAAAGACAATGAAGGGCAGACAACTCAGGAAGTCACAACTGTTAAAACTCTACATGAATCAACAGTTTAATTGTATGTATTATATTGGCTGATCCTGCAATATAATGAGTTAACTACAAGCATTTACAGTTGAATTCTGTCCTATATATTACAGTAATATTTGTAGGGAAGTGTTTTTTCGGCAACTTTTTATCATACCAATTTTTGAGAAGAAACCTTTTCTTCAATACCTTTTTATACGAAGGAAATTGTCAACTAATATTTTCCTTCTAATTTCTTCTCTTTTTTTTGACAAGTTTGAACACAAGTGTTTTGGGGTTTTTTTCCTTTCGTTTTTATTTTTTTTAGATAATTTATCTGTCTAAATTTAACTGTCATTTATGACGTGGAATACAAATCTGACTGTCTGTAATGTTCAGAAACAGACCAATTATTCTGTACAGGTTCCAGTAGATTCACATGTATAATAAATAGATGTGGGTTTCTACTTTTTCCCAAACTGATTTTTTTGTCCGAAAAAGATGAAATAATTAAGCAGTATACGTAAAATTTGGAGAAATGTTTTTGTCCTCAACTATATAGGAAGGGGAGATAATTGGGCATTTATTTAACCAATCTGTGATAATTTGCTTTAAATTTAGTAAAATACTGTTCTATATCTTGCAAAATCCCTTCCCATTGTTGGAAACATATAGAAGTTAGCAGGATTTTGAAGATGGGAATGGTAAGTAAGATTCATTACTACCTGTATAAATAATAACCTGTATAACGAAGTGTCTTCTGACAGCACTTGTTTACTACTAGTCAGTGAATACTACAGAGTTAGTGACATACCCAAAGGCGTCAGGAGGCTGTACACAATGTCTTCTGGCAGCACCTGTTATAGTAGTCCTACTAGTCAGTGAATACTACAGAGTTATTTACATACCCAAAGTCTTCAGGAGGCTGTACAAAATGTCTTCTGACAGCACCTGTTATAGTAGTCCTACCAGTCAGTGAATACTACAGAGTTAGTGACATCCCCAAAGTCTTCAGGAGGCTGTACACAATGTCGTCTGACAGCACCTGTTATAGTAGTCCTACCAGTCAGTGAATACTACAGAGTTAGTGACATTCCCAAAGTCTTCAGGAGGCTGTACACAATGTCGTCTGACAGCACCTGTTATAGTAGTCCTACCAGTCAGTGAATACTACAGAGTTAGTGACATACTCAAAGTCTTCAGGAGGCTGTACACAATGTCTACTGACAGCCCCTGTTATAGTAGTCCTACTAGTCAGTGAATTCTACAGAGTTAGTGACATACCCAAAGTCTACAGGAGTCTGTACACAATGTCTTCTGACAGCACCTGTTAAAGTAGTCCTACTAGTCAGTGAATACTACAGAGTTATTTACATACCCAAAGTCTTCAGGAGGCTGTACAAAATGTCTTCTGACAGCACCTGTTATAGTAGTCCTACCAGTCAGTGAATACTACAGAGTTAGTGACATACTCAAAGTCTTCAGGAGGCTGTACACAATGTCTACTGACAGCCCCTGTTATAGTAGTCCTACTAGTCAGTGAATTCTACAGAGTTAGTGACATACCCAAAGTCTTAAGGAGGCTGTACACAATGTCTTTTGACAGCACCTGTTATAGTAGTCCTACTAGTCAGTGAATTCTACAGAGTTAGTGACATTCCCAAAAGCTTCAGGAGGCTGTACACAATGTCTTCTGGCAGCACCTGGTATAGTAGTCCTACTAGTCAGTGAATATTACAGAGTTAGTGACATACCCAAAGTCTTCAGGAGGCTGTACAAAATGTCTTCTGACAGCACCTGTTATAGTAGTCCTACTAGTAAGTGAATACTACAGAGTTAGTGACATACTCAAAGTCTTCAGGAGGCTGTACACAATGTCGTCTGACAGCACCTGTTATAGTAGTCCTACCAGTCAGTGAATACTACAGAGTTAGTGACATACCCAAAGTCTTCAGGAGGCTGTACACGTTGTCTTCTGAACAGATACAGGGAAAATCCTCGAACTTGACAGCAGTACGTGGGCCATTTCAGCAACTTTCAATCAATATGAAGATTAAGAGGGGCCATTCTATGTAAAATTCTAAAGAAAATTGGAACATGGAGGGGTCAATTTCAGTTGTGAGGGGTCAATGACCCCATGGCCCCCTCCAGGATTATCCCTGAAATATTAGCAATAACTGAATTCCTGAAGAGTAACGAGGAAGAAACCAGTGTCTATCAACAGATCAAGCTGCTTTTGTCAAAGAATTTACTGTCATGTGATAAAAATTCTACCATATACAATTAGCACTGTTGTAGAGTGTTGATGTGGTAGTGGGACGATCACTCGAGAGTTTGATTGAGTAGACATAGATTATAGTGACGATCACTCGAGAGTTTGATTGAGTAGACATAGATTATAGTGACGTTTAGGATTTCCATGATTGTTGAATTCTAAGGTGCTTTAGTTTTCATCTGAATCTTGAATATGTTTGACAGTTGATAACATAGATAACTCCCATGTTGTTGTAGATAATATGACTGGTGTGTCCAGTAGGGTCTCCGGATTTGTATATATCTATAGATCTGGTGTAGTCAGGAGGGTCTCCGGATTTGTATATATCTACAGATCTGGTGTGTTCAGTAGGGTCTCCGGATTTGTATAGATCTACATATCTGGTGTGTCCAGTAGGGTCTCAGGATTTGTATAGATCTATAGATCTGGGGTGTCCAGTAGGGTCTCCGGATTTATATAGATCTATAGATCTGGTGTGTCCACTAGGGTCTCCGGATTTGTATATATCTACAGATCTGGTGTGTTCAGTAGGGTCTCCGGATTTGTATATATCTACAGATCTGGTGTGTTCAGTAGGGTCTCCGGATTTGTATAGATCTATAGATCTGGGGTGTCCAGTAGGGTCTCCGGATTTGTTTATATCTATAGATCTGGTGTGTCAAGTAGGGTCTCCGGATTTGTATATATTTATAGATCTGGTGTGTCCAGTAGGGGCTCCGGATTTGTATATATCTATAGGTCTGGTGTGTCCAGTAGGGTCTCTGGATTTGTATATATCTATAGATCTGGGGTGTTCAGTAGGGTCTCCGGATTTGTATATATCTATAGACCTGGTGTGTCCAGTAGGGCCTCCGGATTTGTATAGATCTATAGATCTGGAGTGTCCAGTAGGGTCTCCGGATTTATATAGATCTATAGATCTGGTGTGTCAAGTAGGGTCTCCGGATTTGTATATATCTACAGATCTGGTGTGTTCAGTAGGGTCTCCGGATTTGTTTATATCTATAGATCTGGTGTGTTCAGTAGGGTCTCCGGATTTGTATATATCTATAGGTCTGGTGTGTCCAGTAGGGTCTCAGGATTTGTATAGATCTATAGATCTGGGGTGTCCAGTAGGGTCTCCGGATTTGCATAGATCTATAGATCTGGTGCGGCCAGTAGGGTCTCCGGATTTGTAGAGATCTATAGATCTGGTGTGTCCACTAGGGTCTCCGGATTTGTATAGATCTATAGATCTGGTGTGTCCAGTAGGGTCTCCGGATTTGTGTATATCTATAGATCTGCAATAACAGAATATGGTCAATGATAAACGTGACACTGTTAGGAAGATTGTCACTGACACTGCCACGCATTGGTTGTAATCTGTCTAGACTGAACTTTCATATTTATAAATAAACAGGGTTTCACATCACACAGGTTCATAGAAATGTTTATACAGAGGGCTCTGCTAAAACTCCAGTGTATAAAGGTGTCTAGATTACAGAGGTTTTAAGGAATGGGTTTAATCCAGATTATACAGGTTTGTTGAAATGTGTATACAGAGAGCTCGGCTAAAACTCCTGTGTATAAAGGTGTCCAGATTACAGAGGTTTTAAGGAATGGGTTTAATCCAGATTATACAGGTTCAAAGGAATGTTTCTACTGAGAGAACCAGCTGAAATGGGGGTGTATATTATGTAGGGGTTCAGTGTGGACAGATTACACTGTTTGCTGTATTATTGAAATAAGCTTTCCAATGCCAATTTTTGTGCCATTATACAAAATCTTGTACAGTTTTCATGGTTAAAATACATGAAACATACATGTTAGGACCGTAGTCTTAAAGGAATTTATACTTAAAATAAGTAAACATCATTAAAAGTGACATTTGTTTTACTTCAATATTACCAGCCCTGTTGCCAGGGTAAAGACAAAGAGTAGCTCTAAAACAGCCTCACAAGCCAAACAAATAGAAAATAATGCATTCAGGACTGTTCATCAGGACTAATGTTTAGTCAACTTACAGAAAACAAAATATATTATAAAAATGTACTTTAATTATAAATATGCAGATTAATTTATCAGTGGATTTTGTAATTATAGAATGATGCCATGTTCTGTAGATCATATTGAACGTTGTGTATAAGCTGTTGATAGGCTGACCGTGATGAAATCCATTTATAAGGTATGATCTCAGTACATCATTCATGTTTATATTGTCATGCTACATGTATATAACCACCTTAAACCAATTCTTATTGAAATGCTGTTTCCCAGGTTTGACCTGTGGATGACCAGATCCCTATGTGGTAATGGACTCTGATCCTTGGACAGAGTTGTGCCCCCTGCTCTTCACTTTAAGTGCTTATTACTGATTTTTGGTTGTTAAGAGATTTACAATTTTTCTGCTTCTATTGCATCATTAAAAATGTTTTTTCATATTTTATGAAATTGTTTTGGATTAAAACTTATTGTGTATCTTCCATTACCTTTCTCAGGATTTCATAAACTTGTAGAGTATAATTATTTTCAGGTCTACAAATCTTCAAGTTCTATTCAATAAAAACTATTATCCATACGCTCACAAACTCTTCACTAATATCATATGCCATTGTGTATATAAGATCACGTTGTCGTTTATATTCACGATGTCACATTTGTTCTACCGTTGGGTAAGTGTTGTGTTTATGTGGTAAATCTCACAGGATATTTATTGAATGCCAAGCCTACCTTAGACAGACTGGGCATTTTTCCTCCATTAGTCATTGTGATTTGTGATATTACTATTTGTTGTTGTGTACTTCAGTGCTGTACTACATATGTATTTAAAGATTACGTGTGTGAGAGAGAGAGAGAGAGAGAGAGAGAGAGAGAGAGAGAGAGAGAGAGAGAGAGAGAGAGATCCTCGAACTCCGCGGCACCTTGACATCACTGATTGGCTGCTTTATTTCGTAGATTTCAGTCCCATAATCCCCTGGGTTTTTCTCTGATTTCTGTCCCGGTCATCTTGTAGAAAGAATATGCAATATTAGTTTCTGGCGTAAACTTTTTATGGGATTTTTGAAGTGTTATTTGGATATACACTATTTTAGACAGTAATCTACTATGAGTTGTCCCTTAGATATGTCCCCTCCCATCATCAACATTCATTTATCTTGATTTGAAAGAGAAAACCTGTTTACAGATATTGACATATGTGAAAAATGTCCTCATTTGAGATCTTAGCATTTAGCAAACATGTTGAAGCCTAAATTTGTCATCCATAGTAAAAAAAAAGAAGACAATCAGACGTGTTTATAATTACCGCGGAAATCATTAAGTGTGAAGGTTTGAAATGGGACCAAATAGATTCATCAACATAGCAAACTACATATAGAATAGGAGTGATTAGGACAACATTGGAGGGTTTGCTGGAGAATGTCAAGGGACTGATGTGGAAGTTGTCCTCAAATTTTCTATTTCAAATAAGCAATAAAGACCATTATAAGCAGCACAGATCAGGATTGGATATAAACCAGAGGGCATCCTTGTGTGAGGTTACAGAGAGTGTCGAGGAGGAAGTGAAAGAAGGGAGGAGGGTTGTAGATATAGTCATTCCATGTTGAGATTGAGTGTAGTAGGGCGTGTCCCATGTGTTGGGAGCAAAGGTGTAGTAGGGTGTGTCCCATGTGTTGGGGGCAAGGGTGTAGTAGGGCGTGTCCCATGTGTTGGGGGCAAGGGTGTTGTAGGGCGTGTCTGATGTGTTGGGGGCAAGGGTGTAGTAGGGCATGTCCCATGTGTTGGGGGCAAGGGTGTAGTACGGCGTGTCCCTTGTGTCGGGGGCCTGGGTGTAGTACGGCGTGTCCCATGTGTTGGGGGCGTGGCTGTAGTAGGGCGTGCTAGTATATAGCTTTGAGTGTCCTATTTAGTGGGGGACATTTCCAGTCTATATGTTGGGGCGTGTCCAGCACATTGAGGGCATGCCCTGGAGTTTATTGGGGGG